TCACCTCGATGGAATTTTTTGAAGGCTGATTGGCCTTTATTTCAATCTTTATGCAAAGATAAACTACAACCTACGTCTTTTCAAAATGTTACTGACCCGATTCAGTTGTTCTCAGATCAACTGAATGAAATTGCTGATGAATCAATTCCTAAGTCCTCTATCAACCCACGTGTTCGTAAACCATGGTTTGATGACACTTGCAAACATGCTAGGAAATGTCGTAAGAAGGCGGAGAAATACTTCCGTAAACATCCTACTGTCCATAACTTGAACACCGTCAAAATTTCAAATGCTAAGGCGAGACGTCTATTCAAACAAAATAAACGTCAATCCTGGCAGAATTATGTCTCCAAAATCAACTCTCGTACCCCTATGTCCAAGGTATGGAACATGATCAAAAAGATCAAAGGCAAGGGATCAAATTCTACAGTAAACCATTTAAAGGATGGCGACACTTTGCTAACGGATAAATCTGCTATTGCCAATAGACTTGGGAAAACTTTATCTCAACATTCGTCTTCATCTAATTACGTTCCCGAATTTCAAAAATATCAGCTTCAACAGGAAAAGAAAAAAGTAAAGTTTACATCTGATAATGGTGAAGATTACAATGAGGTATTTTCACTACATGAGCTACATACTGCTTTAGGGCAAGCTCATGATAAAGCAGCAGGCGCTGATAATATTCATTATCAGCTACTTAAACACTTGCCAGAATCATGTCTTGAAACTATGTTGAATATATTCGATGATATTTGGACAGCAGGGACATTTCCACCTTCATGGCATAAAGCCATTGTTATCCCCATACCCAAACCTGGGCAGGATCATTCTGATCCATCAAATTACCGACCTATATCTCTCACTAACTGTGTTTGTAAAACTATGGAACGCATAGTAAATAATCGATTAGTGTGGTACTTGGAAACAAATAATCTTCTTAGCAATATACAATGTGGTTTCCGGAAAAACAGAAGTACTATCGATCATTTAGTGCGTTTAGAATCGTTCATTAAAAATTCCATTGTAAATAGACAACATGCTGTATCGTTCTTTTTCGATTTAGAAAAAGCTTACGATACAACATGGAAACATGGTATTTTAAAGGATCTTCATGATTTTGGATTAAGAGGCCGTTTGCCTCATTTTATATCCCAGTTTTTAACAGACAGGCAATTTCAAGTCCGAGTGGGTACAACCCTGTCTGATCATTATAATCAGGATCAGGGTGTCCCACAAGGCAGTATTTTGTCTGTCACTTTATTCAGTATAAAAATAAACAGTTTAGCAAAAGTTTTAAATGATTCAGTTCATGGATCACTTTCTGTGGATGATTTTAATCTATCTTGTCGGGGTAAAAATATGCACACAATAGAAAGGCAATTACAATTATGTCTAAATAAAATTAACAAGTGGTGTCTAGAAAACGGATTTAAATTTTCCAAATCAAAAACTAATTGCATACATTTCTGCAGAAAATATAAGCCACATAAGGACCCTGAACTTTTTCTGAATGGCACTCCTATCAAAGTTGTTAAGGAGGCCAAGTTCTTGGGACTTATTTTTGATAACCACTTAACTTTCCTCCCACATATTAAATACGTAAAAGCTAAATGCCTGAAGGCACTCTACTTATTGAAAGTAGTTGCTAATTCAAAGTGGGGAGGGGATCAAACAACTCTCTTACACTTATACAGGTCACTCATACGATCAAAACTTGATTATGGCTCCATCGTCTATGGTGGAGCCTGCAAAAGTAATTTACAAAAACTCGATACCATCCATCATCAAGGCCTGAGGCTTTGCCTTGGAGCTTTTAGAACGTCTCCCATTCACAGTCTCTATATAGAAGCAGATGAGCCTTCTCTTAAACAACGCTGTTTAAAATTATCTTTACAATACATCACTAAATTATATTCTAATCAGTCCAACCCAGCTTTTGAATGCATATTCAATCCTCTCTACGAAGATCTTTACAATAAGAAATAAACACTTTCTCCACCACTCGGAATCAGAATAAAATCTGCAATATCAGCTTCTAATATTCAACTCCAAGATATAGCTCCTACTAAACTTTTCTCATCTCCTCCTTGGCAAATGGTGAAGCCAGAGGTAGACCTTACATTAACAAAACTAAAGAAATCAGACACTAACGAATTAATTTACCAACAAGAATACAGTCAATTAAGAAACAATTATGACACTTATAAATCTATCTTTACAGATGGATCCAAGGATGGTGGCGCTGTTGCTAGTGCCACCGTCATTGGATCCAGAACAATATCTTCACGTTTACCTGATAACAGTTCCATATTCACTGCAGAAGCAAACGCCATTTTTACAGCACTTAAATATATCAGTAATCAAGCTAAACATAAACAATTCATACTGTTTTCAGATTCTCTTTCATGCCTTCAGGCGATTAAAAATATGTCCCCTAAACATCCACTTTTAATCGAAATTCTCGAATTATTTAATGATCTTGCTACTGGCCAATATGACATCGTCTTTTGTTGGTTACCAAGCCATGTTGGTATCATTGGTAACACAATGGCCGATGCTGCTGCAAAAGCAGCACTCAACAAATCTGTGACACCACTTCTGATTCCATACACTGATTTTAAACCCATGATTCGATCTTACATCAGAGATCTTATGCAACAGAAGTGGGACGCCCAAGTAGGTATCAATAAATTACATGAAATTAAACCAAATATCGGTTACACCTACTTGGGCTGTCAGTCCAGATTTGAAGAGGTCATTATGCGCCGATGTCGTATTGGCCATTCAAGATATACAAATGAATATATTTTAAAAGGTGAGGATCCTCCATTTTGTATCCCTTGTGATGAGAGAATCACCGTCAAGCATGTCCTGCTTGATTGTGTTTATTTTTCCATCACAAGGGATAAATATTTCAAAGTTTCATCCTTAAAGGATCTTTTTAGTATCAATGCTCGTTTAATTATTGCCTTTTTAAAAGAAATTGAATTGTTACATAAATTTTGATTGATATGTTTTGTATATAATATAGTTCTTATACTTGGTAAAATAAATTTGATGTCTGAGATTGTTAGTGGCTGTATCCTTGAAGGGGGTTGAAGTAACGTAAAATTATTGTCCCCCTGAGAGGATATGTAAGACCACATCATTCATAGTTCATTTATTCTTGCCACAGTTTTAGACGTAGAATATTTGTTTATTTTAAGTGTTGGCTAAATTGCATATAATCACCAGCGGCTGAAGGGATGGTGTAAATCCTGCTGGGGAGTCGTGCAGGTAGCAAAAGTATTGTAAGTCCCCACGGTCCCCAGTAAGGTGGCCTAACTTTGGTTGCTGGTGATCTATAGCCCATTTTTATATTGTATTGTTGATTGAAAATGTATTGTTTTTAATGTTCTCAACTAGTTTTAAAATCAAAACTGTGATACTCTAGTTATTTTTACTGTCCTTCGATGACAGATATTTAATCCATTCAAATCTTTGTATTTTATATCAGTTCTCGTCACGATATGGCTGAAATACTGCCGATGTGACGTTAAATATTAACTTACTCACTCACTCACCCACTCATGAGGATCATGCAACTTGGGCATTTGTGTTGACACAAACAATGTCAACTTGTGGCAGGTGTGACACTGGTCATAACATCAGGTTGACACGTGTCATAAGAAGTTCCAGACACAACAATAAGTTGGATAGATAAGATATTCTGCGACTTGGTCTTATATTGAAGCTGCAAAACTTAATGAATGCCCCTTGTACATCCAAGGCTTAGAAATGAAAGAGTCTTGGTTCTCAGGCACCACCGCATGATCACAAAGTCTGCTGCACGTTGCGTTTTTATTTCCATTTCCCCCAAAAAGTAATCCTTAAATATTCCGCGTCTCAAACACACAACCCCATTAGTGAAATGCTACATTACTGAACACAATTGGGATCCAACATATCATGCAATTACTTCCCTTTACATCTGCACTGCTTTACTGCACATCTCGTGTTATGTGTTAAGGTCTTGGCGGCAGAGTTTGTGTGCTTGTTATGCCGTTTGCAAAGTTGGTCAATGAAAAGATGAAATTTACAATAAATCATCACTAGAAATGTTGATTTACAAACTCAATTGTATTTGTGTACCGTAAGCTGGACAATGTTTTATACTCAGAGATTATAATAACATGTGTATTTGTCTTGTAAAATAAGCTGGAAATAGCAATCAGCTGGTTATACATTTTCTCCACAATCGATGAGTGATTTAGTTTTAAAAATACTTAATATGGAGGCTTACCTCCTCGTATGACTACTGAACGAGGCGTTATAGATGATACAGGGGTGAGGTCAGATGTTAAAAAAGAGTCCAAACCTTACTCAAGCGAGAGAAACGGATGGGACGAAGGGAGCTATGTACTACCCTTTGCCGAACCCGAACAACCAGCCTTTAAGGTTGCTCCCTGAGGTTTCTTGGCCGCCGAAGGCCCATATTCGGAAGATGCAGACTGAAAGCACCTATCATTCTGTCGTCTCGACGCTTTTGTCTGTGGAGTTCAAAATCCTCATAAGTCTCTACAAAGTACATATCTGTCAGATACCATAGCAGTCATTGCACTTAATGTGAATCATGTGTAGAAAAAGTTTCCAGTTGTCACAAACTTTCCTTTTCTGTCTGTCCAGATTGACAAATAACTCAAGAACTCAAATACTCAACAGTAAGTTGTTGTTCTCCTTCAACACAACGTATGTCTGCACTCTGGTGCGATGCGAATGAAATAGCAGGGCAGGTCACGTGGTTGTGCGGCACGAGATCTATGCATTGCAAGAGTATGTGGTGATAGTGATGACCATTGTTACGGCTGGGATGTGTTCAGGTTAGGTGTTATTTGAAACTGGAAATGGATTCAAGGATCGTTTCCACTCTAGGATTGACTGAAAACAGAGAAATGCAAAGTGTGAGATTAGTACAAGTATAAACAAAATCAGGAGCATAGTCAAAGTGCATAACTTACATTCCCGGAGATCTTTTGCCCGCAATTTTCCTGGTTCTTGTATGAGAACCTGCGCAACAGCATACGGACTCTCTATGACTGATGGGAACTTGATACCCTGGTATTCTATCTCCTGATTTAACAACAGTAAAACAACTCTACAGTAAAAGCAGTAACAATTCACAAGATTTATGACAAATCATTAACATTATTTGAGCAACCCATGCTTGCCGTAAAAGGCAACTATGCTTGTCGTAAGAGGCGACTAACGGGATCGGGTGGTCAGACTCGCTGACTTGGTTGATGCATGTCATCGATCCCAATTGTGTGGATCGATGCTCATGATATTAATCACTGGATTGTCTGGTCCAGACTCGATTATTTACAGACAGCCGTAATATAGCTGGAATATTGCTGAGTGCAGCGTTAAACAACAAACCAACCAACCTACTTTCAAATATTTCACAAAATGATGAAAATTGATATTTCCATTGAACAAAACATAATTGTGAATACACTTTTACAGATGTGATACTAAATTCATACTCAGACAAGCATGTACAATAAGCAACATATAAACTAAATATGTGTGTGTGCATGCGTGGATGTGTGTGTGTGCTTGCAGGCGTGCGTGTGATGTCACAGATGAACATGAATGCACCACTCAGACACAGTATACTCTGAGACGACCAGTTCTTGTTTTAACCCCTTAATGGTAACACCAAGCACCATATTTTAAGGTCTTTTGGTATGACGTGGTTGGGCATCGATCCCCCAAACTATCGCTCTTCAGGCAGACGTTCGACCATAAGACCATGGAGGCAGTCTCTTATGACCACAATTCCCCCATGTAGGGGCATGTTATAGTTGCATCATTATTTTCGTTACATTGCTGCATTGTTACCTTTTTTTGAGTCACTAAAGGACGTTTATTCCCTGATGGTTTCCGTTTGGATCTCGCACGGTCCAGTGGAGATAAGCATCTGGGGTCAAGAACCTCAGAATTTGCATAGGTGCTTTCAGATATTTCCCTGCATAAATCAAACAAAAGTTATCACTGAAAATAATTCAAATGATATTACCTATACTACATCAAAGCCTAATTCGTGTAATTTGTGTTGTTATCAAACTTAAAAGTCCCCAGATTTTCAACAGAACTCCTCTTCACTGCCTACTATCCACAAATAGTAATACATGCAACTAATATTATCTTGGCCATGGGCATGCACATGGCGAGAAAACCTCTCTTCTTTCCAAAATCTAAATTCTAGATACAGACTCCTTACATCTTCCAAAAGAAAAAATCTCATCAGTCTGTGTAGCACTTGGCGACGAACTCTCAGAAGTCCATCATGTTGAAGGACTGAAATTAATGCTGATCTATACTCTCCCACTGTTTTATGATGAAACTTCTTATCCTGGCGGAGAAGTAGTCATGGGTCTAGATTCTAAATCATTTCTTTCACTTGAAGAACTTGTCCCATCTGTTATTATAGATGGCAGAAAAAGAAGGTCCCCAGATATAGCCATCACCTCTGATGCTAACTTGCGAGTAATCCTGAGGCATCTTGTCCAACACAAATTCCAAGTGTGAAGATGCAGACTGTGTAGTTTGCTGAATATTATGTCTGACCTGGAATGACGGAGAAGATCCTGATGCTGTGGTAATTTGAGTGGAGATTGTCCATGAGCAATGGAGCAAGTCTGGGAAACCATAGTCGTGTCGGCCTTTGTTGAATGATTATACAATTTGTCTTCTCTGTCTCATAGATAAGCCGAGGTATTAACTTGGTCCTTGAAATCTGTATCAAAATGTTATGTGCGGTAGATGAGAAGATAGATCATCAATAGTGTCTTGAGGTGAGATGTAGATGACATTGTGAACGAGCTTGGTCTGTGATTTTGATGGATGAATAAAAAAACCAAGATGATATACACTGAAAGGCAAAAGAAACGTCACTTTTGAAAATACTGATAAAACTTAACAGACACTGGCAGTTACATGTTCTGTGGTCAATAAACTCATTTATCGTTCTACTGCTTCTTTTTGTTGCCTTAAAGTCCATTTAACAATTGAATATAAAATGGAGTGCTTTGCCCAAACGCAGCCTACAGAAGTGCAATGGGACTCAGTTGCGGAAAAGTCTTGTCAAAAACTTGATGCACGTGCATATGGTGGATGGTATGGGTATAAAAGACACCCAAAACTGTTAAGCTGGCTTTCGTTATTTCGATTCATCTGCCATGCAAAGATTATCAGGAAATGAGAGACAACAAGCGATCGGAAGACTGCAAGCAGGCCAGAGTCCACAGGTCGTTGCAAATGCATTCAATGTCGACGTCGAAACGTATCGTTTGCAACATCAACACAACACCACCAACACCACCGACGACCGACTGCGTAGTGGTCGGCCTAGAGTCACTACTCCCAGACAAGATTGGTTCATGCTACGCCAACATCTGCAGAACCAATTCCTAAAGGCCACTGAAACAGCTCGGCAAACCATTGGCAACCACCAGCGTGCCATCAGTGATCGTACAGTCCGACGTCGCCTAACTGCCAACAACATCTCGTGCCACTGTCCTGCTCGTGTACCCATCCTGAGAGATCGTCACCGACAGGCCCGACTGCAATGGGTCAGGCAGCATCAAATTGGCGTCAACAGCAATGGAGAAGAATCATCTTCACTGATGAAAGTCGCTACTGTGTTTCAACGGTGGATGGCAGAGTCAGGGTCTGGCGAAGGAGGGGCGAACGTTATGCTGATGCTTGTGTTATGGAACGAGACCTGTGGGGCGGTCCAAGCATCATGGTTTGGGGTGGAATCGGACTGAACCAGAGAGTGGGATCAGTGGTCTTTCAGAATATTGGTCCAGGCAGGGGTAATGGCATCACAGCTCTCCACAACATTGACCAAGTCCTCAGACCCCATATCGTGCCTTTTTTGGCCCGTCATCAAAACCACACCTTTCAGCAGGACAGCACCTGTCCCCACACTGCCAGAGTCACCAGGGACTTCCTCCAGCAGCAAAACATCCAAATCATGCCTTGGCCTGCTCTCAGTCCGGATTTGAATCCCAATGATCACTTGTGGGATGAGATCCAACGCCAACTCGAACGACGTACGCCCAAGGCCAACAACTGCAGCAGAACTGCGTGTAGCGTTCCTGAGGATATGGGCCCATATCCCAATGGCCTTCATCAACAAGCTAGTCCACTCCATGTACAGGAGATGCGTGGCAGTAGTCAACGCCCGTGGTGGCCACACCAGGTACTGATTTTGAACCCCCCAGCTGTGTCTTCTTGTGCCTCCCCAAATTCACAATTCGCATAAACATTCCCCAGACTGTTAATTTCATGTGGGTCAAACACTGACTTTCTCCGATGTCTTTACTTACATATATAAGCATTTGAAAATAAAGATATTTATATGATACATCCACATGATGTTTCTTTTGCCTTTCAGTGTAGAAGTTGAATGAGAAATATTTCTAGCTTCGTTCCGTCCTTATCTGATGAGGGCTTGCAAGAGATAAATAGTGTGTTTCTATGATTTCATGCGACACAGGAGTCTGTTAAGATGATCCACAGCTTGTTCAAAGCAGGAATGGAATAGTGATTATGTCCTAGCGGTCAATGTGCTGCAGACTGCTTCTCAGCAACAAACTGTTGTTGCAATCTAAGAGTAATTGTGTGCCAATCCTGTGCTTGAGTGATCGAAGTGATGTCAATTGCAAGTAATTCTGACACTCTGGCAACCATGGCTAGGCAGAAAGCTGTCTTCCTCGAAGCAAGTAGGAGGTGAGGTGAGGTGAGGTGAGGTGAGGTGAGGTGAGGTGAGGTGAGGTGAGGTGAGGTGAAATGGGGTTTAACGTTGCGTCCAAGATTATTGCATTTATATAGCGACGTGCATGTACGTGTGTGTGTTTGTGTGGCTGCTTGTACTAGTCCGGACTGATGCCGATTTATAGTGCTAGCACACTGAGATACCATGCCGCAGTTGAACATGAATACCCCACTCAGACACAGTATACTGACTCAGAGCCGACCAGTCCTTGTTCTAGCCCCTTAATGCCGAGCGCCAGACAGGGTAACAACAAGTACCATCTTTTAACGTCTTTTGGTATGACGCGGTCGGGGATCGAACCCCGGACCTTCCGCTCTCCGGGCGGACGCTCTACCACTAGACCACGGAGCTGGTGAAGCAAGTAGGAGTACAGTTTCAGCCATGGGCTCATATGGTGTTTCCATCAAGGCTGTCAGGACAAAGGATAAACTCCATTTTGGGAATGTGTGTGGGTATTTGATATCTTCCAGTAAGAATGACTTCATAAGCCGATTGAATACTGGGTGAGTATCTGTATCACATGGAAAACACGAAGAAATAGTACTTGAATCAGAAAAACATGTTGGGCATGAGCTGATCTGGTAATCCGGATTAATGGAAGCGCATGGGTGGTTGGCCGAATATAGTCTATTCTGGTGAAGGGCCCCTGGTGAAGTCATGTCAGCCGGTTATTAATTATGCTCACTGGTGCACAGGGTGAACACAGTTTATACTGTTTATAGATTAATTTATTTTTGAGTTCAGTCATCATTCAGGCACCCCCTGGTGATGACTTCAGACAGTGACTAAGAAAAGATTCTAATCTTCACCAGAGAGGACAACCTGCTACTCCTTGCCGATGCTGCTGTCTACTACTGTGACGGAACATTTGAGAGGTGCCCTGACGTCATAAACATCACATCTAGCCGGATACTGATCTCAATGGATTGTAAATGTAAGAATCTGTATTGATGTACATATGTATATGTTTATATAATGTCAATGATGAATTGTGTTTCATATCCAGGGTTCTTTCATACAGATTATGGTCAGTACATCAAAGAAGCATGTGCTAGTCTAAACATGGGGATTATCTGTTGGCATATCAAAGAAACCAGCTACGTGGAATGACCCTGCTGATTGTGTCACGATCGACTTCATTTCTGATTTGGTCTTATGCATGCAAAAAGGTGATTAGTTCCAACAGGACGAGCAGAAAATCGATGTGTCTATATGAATTCATTATTTGGATGTGATCCCAACTTATGAACTTTGCTGTTATCCAAGTGAATAGTCACTAGATAACTTGTAACAGTGCCCGTTGCCTTAAGTATGAAGTTTCCGTATAGATTCCCTCTTGAACTTTGGTACTTTCATTTTTTGAGAACAAAATCTCGATGACCACATGCCTCCTTGGTTAGGTAACAGACATTCTGTTTAAAGGGAGCGAGATTTCCCATAAACAGGTTCCACTGATGGGCCGCTCAGCAAGCTTGGCACCTTCCTAGTGCATAAACAGCTTGTACCTCAATGGTTTACATACAAATTGCTCTCCATGAAATTGTATGCCTCTGGTGACTGTGACTAGGGCTGGGACAAGTCAAAATTTACTACCTGGATACCAAACCCCTTATTACCTTACACTACCCGGGTAACTGGTGCAGGTCTCGAGTTAGGAAGAAATGTCTGATTTAGAATTCTTTTAGCTGAGCCCTGGCAAAAAATATTTAGATCAATGTATAAAACAATCTTGGGATACATACACTGAGGTTAACTGAAGCGGTATATTTACTAAAACATGTAAACAAGTTTGAAGGAATGTGTACATAGTCAGAAAGAAATGCGAACATTAGCAATTTGTTGTGAAACCATGGAGTTTTATTGTTACTGTCATTGAACAATATATCACGTGACTTAACACAGATCGGGGTAATCAAGTGGGTACCTGGATCCTAGTCAGGACCTACCCAACCCGAGTATCCGAGTTAACCTCCCAGCCCTAACTGCGACAATGTTGATTGTTGAAAATTGGCAGTAAGGGTATGCTTCTTGGACTGGGCGGTCATCTAGTCATGTGAGACGGCTTCTGCGTTAGGATTGAATCTGTGAGCAATCGCTGCTAAGTTAATGACAATGCTCTTACAGTAAACTAGATATGAATGCTGTTTGATCTTGGCGTTTGAAGAATCTCCTGACAGTTATCT